TTTTATATTTCTTTTCATAAACAATAGGTTGGTTATAAATAACAACATCTCCTAAATGATTCTATGTTACTATATCTTTTGAAAATTAAGGTTACTACCATTTTTGTAATAATTTATTATTAATTCTTGATATTTTTTCAGATTGGTAGTTAAATGAGATTTACAAATGTAATGTAATTTGTGTACAAATAACATATCTGAAAAACTAACTAATAGGTTTTCTGTTGAGTAATTCATCTTTTAATCAATAGAAATGTTATTTCTTGTTCAGGTTCTTTTTGATTGGGTTTCACTTCACTATTTTGTTCTTTAATTTTCAAATAATCACAATACTCATTTACAGTATCAAAAAAGCTTTTTAAATAATTTTTTTTATATTCATTATTAAAAAAATCATAATAACCATTGGAATATTTGAATTTATTAATATGATACAGTAATGAAGTTTGAAAAATTCTATCTAAATTTTTATCTGATATTTTGTTATTTCACAAATCTATTAACACATCTTGAAATAAAGATTTTTTATATTTGCTATTATTAACCTATCTTAAAAAATATATTCTTTCCACATGTGTCATTTTATCAAAACTGATTAATGGATATTCTTTTTTATTTAAAGTGGTATAATATTTTTTATTTATCTCTAGTAATTTGTAAGACCACTTCCAATATCGAATCAAGATTCATATATATATTTTGAGTATAATCCATTTGAAGTTTTTCACAAATTGCCTTTACTTTAGTTTTTATCAATTCGAGATCTATATCTATAGGATTTTTTGATAAATAATTACAGTAAATATCAATTATACCAGAGTGTTTTGATAACATTTTATCACCTAATACAAATGTGTTATCTTTTATAGATTTGTGTAATTTCATAATTAGATTAACAAGTTCTTTACATTTATGTAGTTTTTTATTTTCATCATACCAAATTTCTTTGGTGTGATTGGTAAACGTATCTAACTCTAAAGGATTAATTTTTCCATCAAAGTCAAAAGTACTAATAAGACATTTTTGAAATGCTTTTTTAAAAATATCTGCCTTTCCTTCAACAATAACATTCATCAATATTAATTGTTTTATCAACCCCATTACTAATATTTTTTGAGTATGTGATATATTCAAATTAAATATTGAATATTGCTTGTTAAGTGCCATATTATTTATTACTAATATGTTGTGAAAATTTAAGAATCGATTTGATGTTTTCAACCATATCCTTCTTTTCTTTTATAGCTAAATTTTTACATATCTCCTTGATAATTTCTTAAAATTTAAATTGATTATATTTTTTCAATTTATTTTCTAACTCATCAATATAATTAAAAGTAATTAACCATTCCCATTTTAATTTTGCGATTAAAGGATTGATAGTTGATCTTCTTATCCATTTTATAATCTCATTATAAAATTCACAGAATATTTGTAGTAATACTTGTATTCAACATAATTTTTATTTTGAATCATGCTATTAAAATAACTCTTTATGTAATTGTAAATATATACAAACATTCCTTGTATATTAATTTTAAAATCAATTATTATTTATATTTATTTTCAATTAATAATTTAAATACAATAAAAATAACTGATACAAATTTTAAAATCAATCATCAGTAAAATGTTCTCAAATCAAACTGATATAACCAACTTGATTCGACCATTTATTTAATTTATTTTATTTGGTTTACATTATTTAAGATATAAACAATTACAATCTAAATTGAAAGAGTCTTTTAAAATAATGACTCATAATAATCTAATTTACACCAAAATTAAAGAAGAATATTTATCAATTCCTATTTCCATTTATGTTTTTTATAAAAAAACTTTTGAAAGTAAAGCCATTTTAAAAAAAATCAAACAATTACCTTTTTTACAAGAAAAAGATAAAATTATCTTTATCTTTTATTTGCTAAATAAATCATACTACTATTATGATATTGATGATAGTAGAACTGAAAATTTTATAAAAGAATATAAGATGATTAAACATTATATTCAAAAATATATGGGTGATTTTTTTAAAAAGGCAGTAGAAAAAAAAATTGAAATCGATCTAAAAAATAAATCTTCAATTTGAAATTATATCAAATCTTATCGATTCTGAGAATTGAAAACTGAGACAATTAACAACACTATTACCAGAAAAAAATTAATATTGATATCGATATGTACAATTATAAAAAAAGAAAAATAGAAGAAAAATTTTAAACCAAATTAAATAACAAATATGAAAACAATGAATCTAATTCTGTAGAAACAAGTAGTGGACGTAAAATTAATTTATCACACAACTTTGTGATTTTAAGTGATGATTCTGATTCTGATATTAAGAAAATTGAAAATTTTAAACCTAAAAACACATTAAAAATCAAAAAAAGAAAGTATACAAAAAAAAGAAATATATATGATTATAAAAAAAATAGTGATGATGAATATTATATCATGTTTGATGGTTCTGACAATATTGAATATGAAATTAATAAAAAGAAAATTATTTTATTAAAAAAGGAATTTAAATATTTTGTTAGTAAATGGAATTGTAAAGAAAATAAAATTAAACAAGACAAAGTTATTGAAAACCCCAAAGAAAATACTAACAATAAAAAAAACAAAAATTGATGAATATATTGATGATATAGGATATAAATATAATGAAACTAATTTTGAAGATTTTGATTTATTACTTAAAGAAGAAAATCTTTTAACACAATATGATTTAAAAAATTATTTAACAAAAAATATAAATAATATTAAAAGCTTAAGAATCAATATTGAAAAGGGTAAGTTTAATAAAATTGATAATGATCTTATCATAAGAGAATTTACAAGATTTTTTACAATTTTATATAATAATAGAACAAAAAATACAACTCCTCTTTATAAAAATCAAGAATTATTTGTAATTGAAAATTTCTGTAAAGAAACAAATATTTGTAATTTAAATGAATAGAATAAATAATTATTAATTTATTATTTATATATTTCTTATATTTAAATAAATATATCTATAAATAAAAATTATTAGCTTAAAATGTATTTGTATTATTATAAATTTAAAAAATATTATTATAAACCACCTAGGTTTAATTATAATCAAGATAATTATTATAATGATTATTTTGAAGCAAACCCCAATCATAAAACTTGAAGATATCATTTCTACCATATCATTAAATCCTGAAAAATATTTATTTTATTATTTCATCAAAAAGAAATACATAACCTTTATGTTTACTGAAAATTAAAATTTTATAAAATTGGAAATATACAATACAAAAAATCCTATCTCCATCAGTGAATTAAATTCGTTAGGATTTACTATTTTAATCAAAACTAGAGATAATCAATTTTTAGATTTGTCTGAAGATAATTCATGTATTGAAATATATTTAACTATTTTGGATTCATTAAAAATTTTATATCATGATAATATTATTTATAAACTTTAAATTATCAATTATTTATTTATTATTTATTATTTATTAATCAAATTATTATAAATAAAATACTAAATTTTACATATTTCAATATCAAATTTATGAAAAATAAACACATGCCTAATGTAACTCATAATATGATTAACAGATGTCATTATTTAAACATATCTCTTAATGATCTTATGAGCAAAACAATTAAAAAATATGAAAATGTTAACAAAAAAAGCATTATTAAAACATTATATGAATTATCTAAAGAAAAAAAATCCAAAGATTAGAAAAAATATGATAAACATAAAGAAAAAAAATATCTATAAAATTCTGTTATAAAATCATTTACAAATACTGAGAGTGTTTTCTTACCAGATATTGTCACATATGATTTATGTAAAAATTATAACCACAACTGTAAAAATAATAAGCATATTTTTTGCTTAATCGATGATGTGTATTTATATAAACAGCTTGTCTGTGGTAACTGTATTATTAATAGAAAAGAAAAAGAAAAAGGAAATTTAATTTATTTATTATTTTATTAATACATGTATGAAAATTTAAACCCTATTAACATGTAACTTTCAAATTAGCAAAATAAAATAAATTTATTATCTTTCGAAATTCTTTCAATGATCTTTTCATTTTTGATTTATAATGATTATGATAATTTTTTCAACTATGTTTTGGTTTCGAGAATATTTGCTATAGCTTGTCTTCCTTATTTATGGGAAGATTCTTTTTGTTCATCTATCAGAAGAAATTATGCAAGCTTACAAAAAATAATTTATTATTATTTATCCAAGTACAATGAAGATAGTATTTTGTTTCAAATTTATTCTTCTCACTTTGAAAATATAGAAAAACCTCTTTTCAATTATATATCCTTTATCAGACAAATTTGTATTGATAATATTTTCAGAATCGTTACTCAGAATTAATTACTGAATCATTACATATGAATTCAATCTTTATATAGATTGGAAAAACCAAACCATAAAAACTGTTCTTGAATTAATATTCAATCATTCGAAAAAAATCACTTATTTTCAACTTTCAAACATAAATAAACCTAATATCATCAACCTTATTGTTAAATACAATTTAAATAATAATGATATATAAGATAATAAATAATGATATATTTATCTAAACACTACTCATCCTGGTGATTTAATCAAATTCAATAATATATATAGAATTGCCCTTAGAAACTGGAAAAGAAATAGTCAGGATTACAATTCATATGGTATTACTATCAAACTCTATGATTTGAAATTAATTAAATCAGAAAATATCACAAATCTCAGATTTAAAAATATTGAATTTCATGATGAAGAAGAAGAAGAAGTTTTAAATTATTTCGCATCATTAGAAAAATTAAGATGTCTTAGCTTTATTAATACAAATATTTAAAATGTTAAAACTATTTATGAAAAATTTAAAAATTCAAAAACTTTAGTGTATTTAAAAGTCATCTCATCTGTTCTTAAAAATTATGTTTTTACAGAAAATGTACTCAATGAAATTCTTGATAATAAGAATATCGAAAACATCATTATTGGATTTGATCAGAAAGAGAAAAATTTCTTAATTGACAAAAGAAATTCTATTAAAAAATACAAATGTTGGGTAACAAATTATCAATATTTATCTTCACATTCTTCATAATAACATTTCATATCAAAATCGTTATTGGTTAAATTTATGATTAATGATTTACAGTTTAATTTGTGTTTCTAATGTAATGTTTCATTAATTATCTTTTCGATTAATAAAACTTTATCATTATTATTATGTTTATCATCAGCATAAGAAAACATGAGAAAAAATAAAATAATTATCAATTTGACAAACTTCATTTTAGTAAAATGAAGTTCTTAACTTGTTTATTAAATATTATATTTATTTATTAAATAATTAGTAATTTAAAATATTATAAAATTACCAATATCACATCTTACAAAATTAAACATGAATCAAGAAATCTTTGTACAAATTTCGAAATAGTGCTTTGGAAAGAAACATAATAGAAAGATCAAAAATCAAATTCGTTTTGTTGAAAATCTCGATAAAAATTTTTATTTGCAAGTTAAACTTACTAAAAATCAAATCATAATTATAGATATTAAATATTACAACCTTATAAAAAATTATTTTTGACATGCTGCTAGAAATAGAAATACTTATTATGCAAAAACCAATATAAACAAAATAAATATAAGCAGAACAACAAAAGATTTTTATCAAATGATTCATCCTGATTGGCTTGAAACAGACCATATAAACAGATGTAGTCTTTATAATTGTAAAAAAAATTTAAGAGAAACTACATATTCTCAAACCATGTTAAACAGAAATTTACAAAAAACTAATACATCAGGATATAATAGAATTTATTTTTATTCTAATAAAAGAGCTTGGCGATTTTATTGATATAAAAATAATAAACATAAAGACAAATAGTTTTATATTAATAAAAAAAGAACTTATGAATAAGCTAAACAATTAGCAATTAACTTTAAATTAGAACATAATAAAATTACTAGCAATAGAAATAGTTATTCTGTTTAAAATTTGTATTTATTTAATAAAGTAATAAATTTGATATATTATTAGCTACATTTAAAATACATTGCCCAGAGTCAACCATGT